TAGCTCAATTCACTTTACCAACCTCGTTATATTTTCCTTCCGCGTGGTGTCCCAACGCTCTGGCGTGGGTAGCACCTGGGAAGACTTAAAGTAATGCTTATTTAATCGCCACGAACCAGATTTCTGCCATTATTTTTTCTCTGATCTCGACTACGAAATAACAACAGGTAATGCGCGGCAGATCGAGTTGTCGCTTCCGGGGGGAAAGCACCGGCTCCTAACTCGCCCCAAACAAATGTTCAATTTTTTCCAACCAATCTAAAGACGAGTTGACGAAAATAACCGAGTGATCGGGCGATTTTTGCGAATTGGCCAAATTGACCACAACGACCATTGCCATGGTGTTGGAAAAATTGTACATGGACGCGCTGGTCTCCTGAAAATCTCCCGTGCCCCGAGTGGACCTTAGAGAGGTACCAGGATTGAAGTCGCCCTGTGTCTAATTAGGATACAAGGGTATCGTGCATTATCCAGAAAAGGACCACCTTTAATTTTTCTACGCTTGAGAACTCGTAACACGTTTCTTCTCACATGGCCTCACCAGAGCATAAAACACATCCGTCTGGCGCTCTCTGACGAACATTAATGTTACTTTACGTCATCTGTGTTTTAGATCAAGAAAAATATCAAAATACTGATTGTTTTCAAAACTTGCCTATTTTGAACACGGGGTTAAGTTAGTATATATCGTTAACCCGTCAACTGGTGACTGTATTCATAAACAATAGATTAATATTAGAACAATTGTAAGTTTACAAGCTGGTCACGAATTTTTAATGGAAAATGTAGATTTCTGACCACAAATCGAAACCTGTGGAGAAATCAGAGAAAAATGACTTGCCTTAAAACTTAAAATACCATGTTTTCAATTTTGTTAACTTTTTGTTGACATCTAAAATGATTAAATTTGAACAGCAGTAATTCCAAGAACAATGAATGTGAACTTATAACACTCGTTCTTTCTTTCGATAAATCTTTCTTTTCTTTCAAATAGTGTTCCAATCCAAGCAAACTAAATTATATTTATTAAGGTTTGATGTTATGAGGTAAGAGTTAACTTAATCGCATACTTTTTATCAAAAATCCTAGACGTAAAATGAATTCTTAGCAAGGTTAATATTGTTTTTACTTAATTAGCTCAAAAGTACCAAGTATCCAACTTCACCAGTCACTGCACTCTTTAACCAGCCAAACTGTGAATTACAGAGGTCACTGGAAGACGAAAGGAGTAATTACAATTCAACAAAAATTAAACATAAAATACATCATACGATAGGGGCATACATTTGGTCTTTATTTAACTTGTTATAGTAATCGATGGTTCAGAGCACATACTAAAGCTATAGTGGTGAGAGACGAAAAACAATGATCTGAACGATGCGTTTGGTGCTTTGAATGAATTAACGAGAAAGGGGGTATTACATATGAAGGCAAAATCACAATCAAATTGCGTAAAGTGAGATGTTCTTCGGCAAAAAATTACACTATCTGCCCATTAAATATTCAGAAAAAAGCATCCACTCGTTTATGTTAGACGTTACTGGTAAAGAAAGCTTCTTCTCAAACGTCACATTACTACTCTCCCCACATAAGACAGAAGAAAAGAGTGTGGTATATGTGACTCTGGCATTAGATTTAGTTGGAGTAAGTAATGGAGAACATAAATCGAACGTGCTAGGTGTGACACGTGCGATGCGTCAGAATGCTGTAGATGTGCGCATTTCAGTTCATGCAGTATGTTAAATACTCGAAGGCGGTTTCGTGAAATAAATTATGTCGAATATCGCATTTATTCTAGGCCACTTGTTACTCAAACGCTCTTACATCAATATCGCAAAGTTGGCTGCCATTAATCGGGTATCACAGATTAGGTCACTTACCGTTGTTCTTATTGTGCCGAGGGACAAATAGAGCAAGGGCTTATTATCTCCACTCATCTCTGTTCTTTGATTTCCTCTCCGTGATGTTCTGGTATTCGAGTTTAGACGTTTTTTTAAAATCAGTTAAAAGAACTAAGCGAAATGATAGATGATTCTGAATTGACACCCTTTCGATATTCACTTTGGGGTCGAGCATGGGGCCATTGCGATGATTTTGAAAACCTTGTCTGTCATATGAATATACTCAGCATAATTTATGCATGATCGATTAGATAACTTGTAAACCCCGTGTTGCGGTATTTCTGAGAGATAAAAACGGTCCTAGAAAGGGCTGTTTAGAATTTTTGTCGACTAAAGTATCTGAAGGCAGCTTCATTGGCGTAGGAGATAGGTATAAGGGGTGGGGTGGGGGGCATAGCCCCACCCATTTTTTCAACCCCGTCAGTCACGAACGGAGTAAGTGTGAGGGGCTAAGAAGAAACCGTCACCCATGAACTTAGTTTCTTTTTCTACACGTTTATCCCCTAACTGGGCTTTTTATGCGCCTGAACTTGCTTCTTTTTTCGAACTACATATTTGACCGCCCTAGATTTGCTCTAAATTGAGACAGTAGCACATTTAGGCATGTCAAATGCTTTTATGGTGGAATAAATGCTAAATTGGTTCAAGCCGTTACACTCCGCGAAGTTTGAACGCGTGAACTTTTCTTTTGATTACCCTTGGCGTACGCGGTTTACGTACGTTTCGTGATCTAGAGGCCTAGGGGCCTAGTCCCAATGAAATTATCGTTCTACGTAGATCGGGGACTCTCGCTCATTACAATCAGATTATTAGATAAGCACGCTTCCTCTTGTTTCCATCGTAGTCATCACCAGATTTTCTGTATTCTACTCACCGCCAGTAGGGTGAGTGTTAAGCCGTCAATCTGATTGCATTCAGCGAGAGTCCCCGCGGGGTTGGATCGACCTACGTGGAAGGATAGTTTCACGGGGAACGAGTTCCTAACAACGGTACGTTTTGAGACCAAAAGTTTGGCTAATTTTGAGACCAAACTTAGGTGCTTGTCAGGCTCACTGACAGATCCAGATTATTGGAGTATCAATTGTGAGCCAAGGACTGGGTTCCCGTGCCTAGATCGATCGATCTGGATCTCACTAAATTGCTGTCAACTAACCGGCTTAATTGTCTGTCACGCCCACCGAATCAGCTAGGGGGTAAAGATAATTTCCCCCTAAGAACTTTACTAAGCGTGACAGACATCAGGGCCGTAGCCTCCGGGGGGGCAGGGGGGGCAGCTGCCCCCCCTGGGATTTGAGGTGCAAAAAAAAAAAAAATAATAATAAATAATAATCGCAAAGGTAAAAAAATAATTGCAAAGTTGGTATCAATTCTGTGAGAAAATGCACTCATGGCCACTAGACAATCATTCAACAATCGTGGGAGGGGGACACCCCCTCCCACAACCTCCCCCGTCGGAGGCTTCGCCCCCTCGTGTCCGTTTACTGCCCCCCCTGGCATTTTGCTCAGGCTACGGCCCTGGACATTTAAGCCGGTTAAGTTGATAGCAATTTAGTGAGCCTCCCCAGGGAGATAGATCGATCCAAATATCTGTGGGAAATGGTCCCAAAGATAGCTAAATGGGGCTATCAGTTTTTTTCACCACTGGGTGGCGCGCGTGTTTTAGTTGGGGTACTTTTGCGCATGCGCGTACTTTCTCGTGTGTTTGCAGTTTCATTTTTAATCTGACGTTGTAAATATCGCTCTAAATCATGCCAGGATACTGTTGTGTTCCGGAATGTACATCGTCAACAGGAGGTCATTCTTTTCTGGAAGACACAAAGCTGAGTTACCAGTGGAGAGTTGCCAAAAACACTATGGAAACCAAAGGCACATGTCTGTTTCCTCCACTTTCGTGAGGAAGATTACTTCTACACTTCCACGTAAGTTGTACTTGCTGTTGTCGCTTTTAGTATTAATAATGAGTTTGTCAACTTATTCATTAGGTCCTTGTTATCGATGTTTAAGTAATTATGTCGTTTAACGTGCTTAGAATGTTAATTTTAAAGACATCCTTCACCTAACATTATGTAGCGATTTGGGGGGAGAAAACACTCTGCCGACTAAGCTACCGAGCCCGGCCAGCCACTAAAATTATTTCTTCGTTTTTATGTGATAATCCATGAGGTTTTTGAAAGGCCACGTTATCAAATTAAGACAACTTGATTTTTATTGTATTAATAATCGTTATGTGCACTCCTTTTGCAGGTGAGAGAAAAAGACTGAAGCCTGGAACGATACAATCCATATTTCCATTTAATAAAGTGAAAGACGTACCATCATCACGTACTAGCCGTCTAGCTAAACGCCGCAAAGTATCAGATCCGGTGACAGTACCAACAGCTCCTGATTATATTCATGAAGTGGAGGTAAATATAACGCATGATATAATAACAGATTTATAAATAAAATGTTTCTTTTTATTTGCATAATTATCTGTGTAAATACTAGAAATACTAGAGGCGGACTAAAGGGGACAAGAGGCAGTCAGATCTGCGTCATTTCTGTCATCTACACTGATTTTATGTGTTAATTAATACATGAAGTATTTTTTTTTGTGTTATTTATTAACTTATGTATTTATTTTTTGTTGTATCCTATAGGTTGATTCTCAAGCAGATGAAGCAGTGGAGGACAAACACGAAGACTGCCCTGATGAGAGCCAAAAAAGAAAGTACAGCTTCCCAGTGTGATATCACTACACCATCAGACACAAGAGAAAGCATCATGCTGTACCAGAAAAATGCAAAGGCTGTCCAGTATTTAACTGGATTTAGTCATTTTGAACACTTCATGTTGTTTTTCAATTGCCTTGGGCCAGCAGCTCACCACTTTAATTTCAAATGTTTGTCACCAGAGGACCAATGTTTTTTGACCATTATGAAACTGAGACAAGCCTTAAATGATTATTATTTAGTTCTCCGTTTCAAGCTATTGGAAACAACGGTGTCAGAAATAATAAGCACATGGATCAACTTTATGTTTTTCCAGCTCAGTGAAATGAACATTTGGCCAGAACGTGACACTGTTGACAACTATAATTCTGTAAATTTTAAGAAATATGGAGTATTGATTTCATGGGTAAACAAGAGTGACTGGCATAATTTGTCCTTGTCTCGTCTTTCGGTTGCGTTCAAAATATCACCAAACCTAAAAATGATAAAATTAAATTAGTCAGATAGGTTTTTTTTACTGTTCTTTTCAATATGTATTTCAAATGCAAAATGAAATTGTACATACATAGCATTAAATTTTGACCTTCAAACCATGATATACTGAGTATCATCTCACAACTTGTGTTTTTTGTATAATAATGCAACTATAGGTAGGCCTACATAGTAGCTCAAGCTATGACATGATACTGATACAAGACATTTGAACAAGTAAAAAACTAGCAAACTTATTTTCGTTTGCACACCTACCTCGATGGTGTTATTCTCCATGATCTTTCTTCATGCCACACTCGACTTTTACTTTGGCCTCTAGTTCTGTTTTTAAGTTCTGACACTTCCTTCTCTGTGACCTACCAACATCAATGCAAGGTTATGAGGGAGTGAAAAAAACAATGATGCTAACATTCTTGGCAAACACTGTTATGATTGTCTACCTCATCTACACTTAGTTATGTCAACTGTCATTGACATAAAACACACATCAACCCTTGTTTCTCCTTTACAAATTTGCGTTGACACCAGTGTGTTAAATGTCGGACCTGGTACACGAAATTTGATTACCGAAACGGACGGTCCTTTATCGGCTAGGAGTGCCTACAATAAACATATTTTAAACATAAATACCTTTATTATATTCTCGGAATATGGAAATATGCAATGACAATATTATTATCTTGAAATATAGTAATAAATTAGGCATATAAGTAGTGCGGAAGTAGCACTTACACTTACACCTGGCTTTTGACAGGGAGCTCACACAGAAACCCATATTTTACGGGAAGATTCGAGCGCGAAACCTTCAATGTAAGTGAAACTATTGCCACATTCATAAGTAAATACACTAACTTTTCTATCAAATCCTGTTTCTTTCCTCTTGTGGGGGCTCCTCTTTCAACTAATTGAAGTTTTAACTTCGCCACCGTTTGCTTCCCATACTCTAAAGCCATTTCTACACGGACGCGAAAACGAGGCTATCTTCAATAACCACTATTACCCGAGCGCCCTCTTTAGGACAAGCGGCTCCGCGTATAGCCCCATTATGTGTTCTTAACGTTGACACCAACTGTTGGTCTAAAACTATCTTCTGAAGCAGGCCACCTTGGTACAGAAGCATCTTAAGACAAGACAGTCTTATTTAACGCATTTCCAGTCGAGGACACCGCTATTTTCTGACGCAGATGACTGAATAAATGAAAATACCAGAATTTCATTATCAAACTTTTAAAAGGACAGCAATTTAAACATGCAATTATTTCTTGCCTACCTACAATGTTATGCTTATCTGGGACTGAACAATATTGAACCATAATCTTAGAGTAAAGGCTTCCGATAAACGAATCGAAATTATTTTAGTAAAATTTATTTAATGTACTCTGTGACTGAGATCAGTGAGTACAGCGAGTTCCTCCATCACCAGGGTCGTAGAGTACGTTGAGATAACTATCTTGAACGTGAATGCTACACTGTAAATGTTCTCACCAACATGTAGTTGTTTAACAACGCCCCAAATCCCGTCCCTGTCAAAGAAGAGAGAGAGAGAGAGAGAGCATCTGCAATTTCAGTGAAGTGGGTTGGTTCAGTGTTTATCTGTGTGTGTTGTGTGTGTGTGTGTGTGTGAGAGAGAGAGAGAGAGAGAGAGAAATCTTTCATGATAGATATGGCTAATTTCTTTATGTTGACAGCAATGAATCTAAGTCAGCGGCACCCTCTCTGTGGAATTGACCCATTTGTTGTCACTGGAAGAGAAATATGCAAATGCATTTACCAATACAACAGTCAGTGATCAAGAAATCCGACAATTTAATTTGTAATAAGAGTCTATTTTCATTAAAAAAATTCAATCGAAAGTGGGCATGTCCTTCAAAGCAAAACATTGGTCTTCTTCGATTCAGGTCAAAATGGTGATAATTTACTATTTTTGTATGAAGTGATTAATGGTTGATAAACACCAGTCATTTTGTCCTTGTGATTACACCAATTCAATATTTCATTTCAGCAAACAACAATAAATTTATCTCGGGTCAAAGAATGATAGCATATTGGTCTGAATGTTTATACCAACCATTGATCTTCATAATAATAATAATAATAATAGTAATAATAATTTTTTTTTTGAGGGGGGGGGGCAGTTGTGGTAGGACACACACATCCCGTGACCAAACTACTATTTCATATTTACTTATTTTATCGATTGGCTATCAAGTTGATATAACAATTAAAATTTTATTTCTTACCATCCAGTTTTCTCATCACCGGGTGATAACGGCTACGATTTGGAAGGGGCGGATCCAAGATTATTTGAAGGGGGGGGGGGTCTGCGGATGCAATGCCCCCCTCCTCCCTTAGCGTTGGAAATAAAATGGTATTTTAGAGGGCGAACGGTGCCTTTGGTATTCTAATTCTAATCTCAAGAGGGGACCATTGTTGTGATTTTTTCAGAAATCGAAGGGGGGGTTAGGACCCCTCTGACCCCCTCTAAATCCGCCACTGGATCTGAGAGACAAGAAGTGTCTTCCGTTAGTCCATTTCCCATTGCTTTGTACCAAGGAGTTATAACAGAAGGAGATTACACGCAAGCCTCTCTATTGTCCGATGTCTGTTACGGTGGGCGGAGCTAGCTACGGGGGGCCTCCTGTCTCAAGGTTTCGTCTGGGTCGCTCTCCTCCGCTTGGAGATTGTTTTATATGCGTTATTTCGCGTTAGAATTCGAGATCAGTAGTGTCAAAGCGGCGCTGTATGCTGACGATTTTTTTCACAGGGAGGGAACGATATCATAGAAAGCGATTATAAGGTGGTGACTGAGGATGGTCGCCATGAGTTTTTTTGAGTCGGTGATAGATGGCTTTTCTTTTGCACAACACAGTGAAAAATCACCAAGGATAAGTCAAAAGAAAACGTCCCAACTGTGGTTTGTGAAAATGACATTCAAGTGAACGTCTGTCCTCACTGCCAAAGGGCATAATATTAATACATAAACGTTTGGACCCCCCTGCCCTTTGGTCCCATAAACATATACATTGAGACAGTGCCTAAGCTTTGTGACTGGTTTTTAATTTCTTTAAGTATTTTTTTCTCTCACTCGGTATAATTTTAATATCATAATGCATTAAAGTGAAATTTTAATCAAAGGTTGAGGCAATTCCACGACATGTCAGTTTACTAAATACTCGTTATAAATTTCTTTATCTTGGAAATCTCCCTTTTTATTTTCAGGATTATTTTGACACATACTAACCCTTCTTATTTGTCGGTAAACAAGTGCACAGTGCTAAACATTAAGTATAATTTTTATTCATTCATAAATATATTTATGTTCAAAATATATCAGAAATTTTAGTATTAACTGAGCTCTTTAAAGTGAAACAAATAAAGATGAGAATTTTGAATTTCAAACTATTATTTACTATATTAACTTAAAATATC